CCCACCCCTCCTGCCCAGCCGTTTCACCGCCCGCCTCTCCGTCCGTGAGCCACGGTCAACTCCACACCTCCCTTCCCCACGCTCATAATGACCGAGGGCCTGGAGGAGTGAGGCGGAGGGCGGGGCGGGACACGGGGCTGCCCTTGCAGATTCGCTTCCACTGATGAGGAGAGGAAGGTCCGAGGGGGCTGCCATATGCACAGCAGAGACAGGGTCATGGGCACGACTGGACCCCCGCCCCCCTCCCTTCCCCAGCCCGTTGGCCACTGTTGCCGCTCTACCGCCCTCCCTAGCCCACACACTCACACACAATTTACCGCCAATGTATGTTGTTTTTATACTTCCACATCCCGCCCAGCTCACCATCGAACACCATTGATCTGTTTTGACCCTTCTCTTTCTGCCATCCATAACTGACTGTCAGAGTCGACATGGTGGCACGTTTCAATGTTTTGCGTACAGCCGTTCTGAGCTCTTCTAAAATGATGCCTGGAAATATTGACGACTTAACTCGCGGTTCGCTCCTGCTCCTCCTTGACAACAACGGCCACCTCTTGTGGGAACGCGAGATGTCGCCCCTTTTCTTTTCTTATTTTGTTGCGCTACAGTGCAGTGCATCCCGTATCCCGGGCTTAGTCCCGGCCGGGCCTAAGTCGGGTGCCCCTCCCGTGCTTGGTAAACGACGATTTAAATCAAACACATGCTACTGCATTGTGTTTGTGCGAGGCGGGTTTTTACTAAAAATAGGTCAAGGTCAAGGTCGTCGCTGTTTATCCTCGTTAAACTCTTCATTTCAGCTTATTCGGCTCTGTTAATCCACTTCAGGGAGGGAGGAGGTGGAAGAGCGAGAGAGAATGGAAGGAAGGGCCAAAGAGAGCGAGAAAGAGAGAGGAAAAGAGTGCGAGAGTTACGAAAATGGGGGGACATAGGAGAGGAGGAAATGGGGGGGCAAAGCAAGGGTAAGTCTGGGCAGGCACAGCTTCACAGCAGCCCGATCCTCTCTAGAGCCGCCCTCCGTCAGTCTCTTGTCTCTGTCTTTAGGTAGCCCCCTCTCTCCCTCCCCTCTCCTCCCCCGCTGCGCCTGCCGCTTGCCGCCGCTGTGCTTCTGTTGCGGGGCTTATCTGCCGGCCCGCCCCAAAGGATGGCTCCCCCTCCCGCGCCCTTCCTTTCCCTTCCTTTCCTTCCCCTCCCCTTCCCCCTCCCCTTTCCCCTCCCCTCCCTCCCCGCTGCTGGCGGTGTCACCCGTCGTGCTAAATGCTTGCCGTGACGCGGCGGCGTGCGCCACATGTGCGCCCTATCGCTCACACTAGCCTCGCAATAACACCGCGAAGCGGGCGAAGCTGGAGAAGCAAGCCCCATCCTTCTCTCTCCCTCTCTCTCTCTCTCTCTCTCTCTCCCTTTCCTCTCTCTCTCTATCTTTGCCTCTCTGCCTCTTTCTCCTCCATCTTCGCCTGCTGCGGCTCTCATACACCCCCCGAAACTCCCACCGCCTCCCCCACC